TGTAGTTCTTGTCTCTCCTCACCCATTCCAAAATGTACTGCTTGCTGTCCTGTTAAACTTTGTCACCACTACTGGAGTGAGATGGTATCAAATTGTGTTTTTTATTTGCATCTCTCTTATTGCCAGTGATTTTGAGCATTTTTTTTTCATGTGTCAATCATCTGAATATCTTCCCCTGTGAAATATATTTCCATGTCTTTTGCCCATTTGTAATTAGCTTATGTCTTTTTTTTTGTAAAGACTTCTAGTATTCCTTTAATTTTTGTTATGAGACTTTTGTCTGAGATGGTATTGCCAGATTTCTTTTTTTCTCAGTCAATAGGTTTTCTATTCACCCTGTTGGAAAAAAGTTTTGATGCACACAGGAATTTAGAAGGTCCCAGTCATCAATTTTACCTTCTTCTGGTCATTCATTTCTGGCAGTATTTGTCAACCTCTTTATACCAGAGGCGAGGCCTTCTAAGGTTATTCCCATTTTGTCTTTTATGATCTTTATGGTTTTGGATTTTACTCATGTATCTTTTTTATCCACTTTGAGTTGGTTTTTGTGTTTGGTGAGAGGTGTGGATTCTGCTTGAGCTTTCTGGAAGTAGCAGTCGATTTTTGCCAGTACCATTTGTTGAAGATATCACTCCACCTTCTTATTGGTGTTTCTCTCACTGACTCTCTATTTCCTATAATTATATTTTTTTTCCAAGAATTACAGCATCCTGACAACATACCCAAAGTGTATGACATTTAACCATCATTGCTTCCAAGGCAAGAGATTTGGGGGTCTGGGGGTTGTTGTTTTTTGGTTTTGTTGTTGTTGTTGTTGTTGTTGTTTTGGCAGTCCATTGTATATCCAACACTGTTTACTAACACTATCATCCAATATTATAATTCATAGAGAGCTCTGGTGGCTTAGTGGCAAGAAGCTGCGCTGAAATCTCAGAGGTATGCAGTTTGAATCTACCAAATGCTCTGCTGGAGAAGGAGGGGCAATCTCCTCTTGTACCAGTTAGATCCAATCTAACAGTACACAACAAAAAAGAATAAATTAAAAATATTTTTTTAAAAAAACGTTTACTGTGGAAAAAAAAATGTTTACTGCGGGCCAAAGATAGAACATAGAAGTCTCATTGGATCCTTAAAATAATCATGAAAGTATTAACATTTTTCTCAGGCAAAGATGGAACTTCCAAAACTTTCTGGATGGAGTAATTCTTACTCAGTAAAAATTTGACTTTTTTTTTCCCCTTCAAGTGTTTTTTCAGTAATATCTCTTGGTCTAGGTCAAATCTCTTGGCTTTACTCTTGAAAGCAAATTTCAGATACTGACAGGACCAGTATTGTTGCCTAGAAGTTACATCAGCATTTTACTTCCAGGTTGAACCCCTTTTGTTAACTAACACTGAAGGCTGATTCCAGAAGGAGAGCACCACAGTTTTTCTTCAGCGGCAGATATGAGAGGATTCAAAGCCCTAATCTTTCAGTTACTAGCAAAGCACATTAACTACTTGCACCATGCAGAATCTCCAGTTATATCCCACCACCACCCATCACTGCCACCAACCTGATTCTGACTCCTGATGACCACAGGACAGAGGAGAACTGCTCCCAACAGTCTCCAAGGCTGTAAATGTTTATGGAGACGGTCTGTCACATCATTCTCCTGCAAAATTACTAATGAGCTCAAACAAGCAACCTTGTAATAAGCAGCCTCACACTTAATTTACTGTATCACCATGTGTCTTCCAACTAGAATGGAACCTTCTTGAAGTCAGAGGGTGGATATTTTATTGTCTCTTGAATGCTAAGCTTACCACCAGGTTGTAGATTTACATTATCATTAGTGTTAGGTGCCATGGAGTTTCTTTTTATCTGACCCATAACTGATCCTTCAAGTGAGTTTTCAGTAGCAGTAAATCTCACGGAAGGAGATTGCCCATCCTTCTTCCATGGAGCAACTAAGGATTCGAACAAACCATGTGCCTTTAGGTTGGCAGCACTGCTCTTACCACTAGGCAACCAGAGATCTCTGGTGGATTTACATTGTTGTTGTTGTATATCACTGAGTCGGAACTAACCCATAGCTGACCCTCCCGCAGGTTTTCAGAGGCAGTTAATTGCACAGGAGGAGATTGCCGGTCCTTCTCCCACAGAGCAGCTGGTGGCCTTCAACTGCATGCCTTTAGGATTGCAGCACACCTTCTTGCCACTAGGCCACCAAAGGTCCCTTAGATTTACTTACAAGGCTCTAAATAAAAGATTATTGAAGTCAATTACTGTGCCTTTAGCTACTATATGTAAAGTATTTCTAAGGGATATTCTCAGAGAATTGGGCCAAGTTAAAACAGGAAACTTTTTTATCCCTCCAACATAAAGGAGCCAGATAAGATAGGTATAGAAATGCATTGGTATAAACTGTTTATATAACAATTATATACTTTTCTTTTTCAACATCTTCCTGCTGGTTGATTCCTTTTCTTTTGCTTATATGCTTAAATCTTATCCATCTTGGAAAAATCCTTGCTTTTGTCTTTTTCTTAAGTGACTGCTTTATCACACGGGTTGTTGTGTTGTTGGTGGTTTGGGGTTTTTTTTCCCCTGCTGCTAAAACATTTACACGAGTAATCTATACCTACTACTGCTTTCTTCACCTTCTGTTAAAGTCTCAGTTCTTTATATTCTGATTTTCTCACCTACCACTTAGCTTAACTCATCCACTTGGTTCCTGAAATTCCCTTCATTTAAGATCTGTGTCTTCTTTTAATTATGTACAGCTTCAATTTTTTGCTGGCTTTCATTTTGGAAAAAGTAATTTGACTGTAGCATTATTCAAGAAATTAATTCTAACTTTAGGTGGAAAGCTGTATTAGTCATTGATAAATTTTTAACCCTTATAAATATTCTGTTTGAGAAAAAAATATATATTCATTAATCATAGCTCCAAATACAGTTTATTTGTTCGTAGTATTTAGAAATATATCGAGTCAAATATTCTGCTGTATAGTGTAGAAAATACACTGTTTTGCACATTACTGATTCTCACTTTGTAACACATTTCTTTATCTTTCTTTTTACCAGATTGCCCCAGATCACGTAGTTCCAGCTCCTGAAGAGTGCTATGTATATAGTCCACTGGGTTCTGCTTATAAACTACAGCGTCACACTGAAGGCCATGGTAAAAACACAAGTTTAGTAACCATGTGAGTAAAATTTATCTATGAATGAAATTACCAATTTTCATTGTCTTAATGATATGTTTAACTGATATGTTTGACTTAATGATAAGTCAAACTCCGTATTTTTACTGCTGCTACTTTGTGCTTTCAGTTTTATCATTTGGAATACCATGATGGGAACATCAATACTAAGTATTCCTTGGGGCATAAAACAGGTAATAGGATTTTATTTTAGCACTACTATCACCTGATCTTTTTTCTTTATATGTTTTGCAATAGAAGTTTTCATAAATCTATAAAAAAATTTAGAGTAGATGGTTGTCCCATTTTTCATTATCTCCCCGGGAGGGTTTTATTATGATTGCTTAGGGTAACATAATACGGTTGTTTATGAATTTATGCATGTTATTCTATGTTACTCTGTTTTTTTTATTTATCCAGGCTGGATTTACTACTGGGCTGTCTGTCATTCTGCTGATGGGCCTTTTGACCCTTTATTGCTGCTACAGATTAGTGAAATCACGGAGTATGATATGTAAGAATTTTACACAGTGAAAATATTTTAGTGATGTGGTATATCAAGTATTTCCCTCTGACCTAGATTATGAACTCATATATTCCTGAAATGTGTTCCTACCTAATTACTTTATGCATAGATTACTGCTTTAATTCACAGCCCTCCACTGAATTCAGAAGTCAATACATCAGTAGCTGCCTTTAATAAGACTGGGAATTCTTTACAGATTAAATTCACTTCAGTGTGCAGTTCCTCATAAGAATAATTAAAAAGCTCCATCTTAAAAATAAGGCCTGTGACAAAATTGAGAATTCTTTGATTCTTATTAGCTAATAGTGGCGTATATTGGCTTATATATACTGAAAGACCTATATATTGGAATCTCCTGTAAATCGAAATTAAAATTTAAAAAATGTTCAAGAAAAGGAAGGAAGGTGTTCTTTGTAGCATATTATTAAAGTTATACTAACACATTAGTTACTGTCACTCATCCCTAGATTCTGTGCCAGCAAAGTGTCTATTTTAGGTTGTTTTGAGAAATTTAGAATCTTAATAGATGTGCATTATTTGATAGAATCTGACCAAGTATGAATCAACAGACCAGATTTTTCTCTTTTTTTTTTTTTTTCTTTACTAAGCGATTTCCCTCTTTAACCAGATCTAGTCTTAATCACTGGAGAGCTCTGGTGGTCCAGTGGTAAGGAGTTGCACTGGCAACTCAAGGGTATGTGGTTCACATCCACCAGCTGCCCTGCAGGTTGGGCAGTCTCCTCCTGTGAGATTAACTGCCTCTGAGGATCTGATGGAGGATGGCATGAGAGATTTAACAACAATAGTAACAATAGTCTTAACCATTGAAAGAATTTTGTTAAAAAAGTCTCAAGAAAAGTTTTATTCTAGTTCCAAACGGAAAGGGATTTTCATTTATTTTTAAAGGTTATTTTTAACCTTTAATCTCTCAAGCAAAACCTTGACGATCTCTTTAAACATATGTAGAAAGTTTTCTCTTGGGCCTGCTTTTGTCTAATTTGAAGAACACTCTGTGGCATAGTCCATTGAGAACTGTGCTACTGGCCAAAAGACCTTGCCTCTGAGTGATTCACATCCACCAGCCACTCTGTGAGAGAAAGATGGACAGTCTCCTCTCATGCCACTTAAAGCCTCCAAAGCCCACTGGAGGGTCACCTAGGAGTTGGCTCCTACTTAACAGCAGTGAGTGTCTGACTAATTTGAAGTCTCTTTTTAAAGGAGAATATAGCTTCAGCTCCATTCTCTCCATAACTGCTAACCAGCAGGTACCTCCAATGTTATTTCAACTATTTTATGCCATTTTAAAAGATGAACTTTCAGGGAGCTCTGGTGGCCTAGTGTCAAGAAGCTGAACTGCAATCCCAGAGGTATAGGATTCAAATCCACCAGATGCTCTGCTGGAGAAGGATGGATAGTCTCCTCCTGTACCAGTCAGATCTGATTTGACAGTAAACACACACACACACACACACACACACACAAAGTAAAAAAGATGAACTTTCACTGGTTCATTTTACACAGTCAGCATAACCCTAATACAAAACCTAAGAGTACAATAAATAAAACACTGTAGCTGTGAAAAACCTCTCTATCAGAATCCTTTGATGGCACAAATGATTAAGTATTGGTCTACTAGCCAAAAAGTTAGTAGTGCAAATGCACTTAGATGCCTCAGAAGTAAAGCCTGGTTATTTGCTTCCAAAAGATTATAGCCTTGAAATCTTAGTGAAGTACAGGGTCAGAGTCAGCTTGATTGTCACTAATGTCAATAGCATTTGACATCTTGTACAAAAATGCATTTTAGATAGATTAAAGACAAATGTAAAAAAAACCCCACAACTTTCAAAAGCTTGGAAGAAAATTTAAGAAGTTATTTTATAACCTAGAAATTGAGGAGATTTTTTTAACCTGCACAGAAATATAGAAGCTTTGGGGTGGGGGGTGTAGGATTCTATTAGAGTTCTGAATTATCAAAATTTCAAAAATATCTAGACAAATAACTAAGCAGGACTTTTAAAAAAAACCTACATGCCTGCAAGGTAGGATCTGTCTTCAGACTAACTTCTAAAACCAGACCATGAAGGCCTTTCTTCAAGCTGTATGAAAGTTTTGTCAAAATATTTGTTTCTCTGCATATATGATTCATAAAATTATATGAGATAATTATCTAATATTCACTCAGCACCTTTTCTGGTCTGTGTGTGTCAGTGGACACTATTCTCTATTCATCAGAGCTTGATATTTATTAGACATTTATAGGCTAAAAGTATATTCATTGAAATAAAATATCTTTCATTTTCTGTGGTTTTTTCCCTTTGATTCTGGACACCCAAGTATCTGTAAAAATTAATGGAATTAAATATTGTAGTTTCATGATAGGACTTAAAATACTAGGAGAATACACAAATGCTTCACTGTTAATATATATCACTCAATGTGAAACTAGAAAAATCTTTAAAAGAATCTGATATAAATATTTTCCTTAACCTTTTTTATCTGTAAATTATCATATTCTTAATGTCCTCAATTTCTTAGGCTTAATCACTGCTTTCTGTCATGTGACAGCTACCCTATTGTGCCAAAGAGCTGACAGAATATCAGTTGATAGTGTCATCAAATGTTAGTTCCAAGAAGTTCAGAGAAGTGCATCCTAAAAGAACCAAACACTTTTTCACAGTGTGTCATTTTTAACTAATGACACCCCCACGTGTGTCAGAGGAGTACTTCTCTGCTGCATAGGGTTTTCAATGGCTGATGATTCTGAAGGAGGACACTTTTTACTGAGGTGCTTTGGTGAACTTGAACCTCCAACAGTTTTGGTTAGCCACTGAGCTCTTAACTGTCTTTGCTACCCAGGAAGTCCCATACAAGAACAGACACTGACAGATTATCACTTGATGACAATTAAAACTGTCTTTTATAGTTTAAAATAGCTATACTCTTAATTCCTTATTAAGACTATAAATAATAGATTCTTTTCCAGTTCCTGAGCATAATTATTGGGTGTTAATGTTTTTGTATGCTATGTGCCTCCCATAAACCTTGTTCTATGTCAGCACATTACCCATCTGATGTGGGGGGGGGAAAGGAATATAAAGAATATTATTAAGAATATAAAAGATATTCAAATATGAAACAAAAAGTTATTTATCTGTATCAAAGCAGTAATTTTGTTTCTCTATGTTTTTATATCAATTCTAGTCATTTAGATTTGGCTTTTTAAAAAGTTATTATATTACTTTTTTGTCTATTATACTGCAGTTTGTTGATGCTTTATTGACTAGTACAGTTTTGGTTTCTATCAAATATCTTTAGTAAAGTCCATGTTTCTACAGTAAACAGTTGTATCTTCTTAATGTTTTATGCTATGTACAATTGCACACTAATTCTGTTGTACTTCTTTAAGCATTGCCCTTTTTGCCATTCTAAAGAACACTCTGAAAATTTTATGCATACCTCTGTATTCTTTAGAATAATTAGAATTCAACATGTAAGAAGAAAAATGAAGCCACTTATTAAAAGAGTTGTACTAATTTAAAGTGATACTGCTGTGAATAAATGACAGCATTTCCCTGAATCTTGTCACTATTTTGTGATATTCTCTTATTCTTTTTATTTGACTGCCCTGTTTTGTTTAATGCCTAAAAAAGTACAGGTGCCTGTGTTACTGTTCAGCATTTTTTTCCCTTAAGTATTTATTTACCATTTTTGTGTTCTCTTAATTATAGAACTTATTTGTATTCCCTTCTCATTTGCTTACAAGTTCCTTGGTGCCCTTACCATTTGCAAAGTTTTTTACATGGTGTAGACATTAGCCCTTTATGTTATTTCTTGTAAATTTCTTTTCATTATTTGAATGATTTTGTATTATAAGTGTATGTGTGTCTATCTTTCATAATGTGAAATTTCTTTAGCTCATCAAAAAAGAAAACCTTTCAGAATCTACTTTGATGTTGTTTTCTATTACTCACTTTTATAATTATTTTTTTTTGTTTTTTTACTTTTGTAATTCTTAATTATTTGAAAATTTTTCTCTGTGCCAAATATTAAATAATGTTTTCTATTCCTTATTGATGAACTTGTCTAACCTTAGTTTATCAATTGCTTTTATCAATTAATAAATTTTTACAGTACAGTAATCTTTCCCTTTATCTGTTCTATTTTATTGCTTTCCCTTTTTATGTGTTCATCCTGCAATATTTAATAATAATTATTATTATTACTTGATGCTTTTCTAATGTCTGATAGTGGAATGATTGTAATCTCTTGCTAAATATTTTTCATTAATTTGGAGAACACGAATCATGAATATGAAATACATGATCAGCATCTGATTTTGTTATTTCCCTTTTACTTTTATAGCTTCTTTGGATACCACCACCTGGGAATATCCAGATGTCTGCAGATACTATTTTGGCTCCTTTGGGCAGTGGTCCAGTCTTCTTTTCTCCTTGGTTTCTCTCATTGGAGCAATGATAGTTTATTGGGTGCTTATGTCCAATTTTCTTTTTAATACTGGAAAGTTTATTTTTAGTAAGTACAATCTCACTTGTTAACAAAGTTACTTTCAAATATAATTGCTACTATTGTGTTCCCATTTCAATTTTAAATCTCTCTCAGGTATTGAGATAAAGTAAAAATAATCTTTGTTATTCTGGTGGTGGGAGAAGGATGGACAGTCTCCTTCCATGTGATTAATTGCCTCTGAAAATACACCAGAGGGTCAGTTCTGACTCTGTGGTACACAGCAATAACAACTGTAAAAAATTAATTTCTTTCCATCTGTCTCTTGTAGTGATCATCTCAAATATGTATGTTCATTTCAAAATATGAAATTTTGATAAATTGGTATTTTTTTCCCAAATCTCTAGTTAGTATAAAGTATACATACCAAAGCTGCTTGGCACCAGAGATCAAGAAATCAAAGACCTATTGTTGTTGTTATGTGCTGTCAAGTCACCTGCGACAACAGCCCTACACTCTGCTCTGTCCTGTGCCAATCACACCACCTCTGACACACCCATCCCTATTATCCCAGTCACTGAATCAGTCCACCACATAGAGGCTCTTCTCCTTCTGTGCTGTCCCTCCACCCTCCCAAGCATGATGTCCCTCTCCAGGACCAGTCTCCCCTTACAACATGTCCAAAGTATGTCAGATGAAGCCTCAGAATCCTTACCTCCAAGGAATAACCCGATTTAACCCTCTCCAGGATGAATCTGTTTTCTTAGCATCCCATGGAATATTCAGTACTCTTCCCGAGCACCACAGCTCAAAGGCATCAATTCTCCTTATATCCTCCCAAGGCATTGTCCAACTCTTCATTGCGTAACAAGTGATCGCAAAGACCATGGCCTGTATCAGGAAGAAATAGAACAAAGACCTATTACATTGGGAAATTCTGCTATCAGGGACCCTCCCAATGGCCTGAAGAGCAGTGATGTCAGTTTAAAGGCTACAGGGTGCCTGATTCAAGTCACAGTCTTTCCAGTCACCTGCTATGCATCTAAGACAATGGACATCTGGACAATCAATAAGGATAACAGGAGAGAAGAATTGATGCATTTAAGTTGTGGTGTTGGAGAAGAGTGCTGAATATCCCATGGGCTTTCAAAAGAGCAAATAGATATGTCTTAGAGAAAGTGCAAATAGTATGTTTCTCAGAGACAAAATGGTGAAGCTTCATCTTACATAGTTTGGACATCTTGTCAGAAGCTATTCCTTGCAAAGGGACATTGTGCTTGGAAAGGTAGAGAATCATCAAAGGAGAGGAAAATTCTTAATGAGATCGATTGATACAGTGCCTGCAGCAGTGGAATCAGCAGTGGCAAAGGTGGTAAAGATGGCATAGGTTAGGTCAAGAGTTCAACAGCATTTAACAACAAGAAGCCCCCAAAGGAAGTTTTAAGCGTATTTCAGTCCTTATCAGAATTTTAATGTAATGAAAATTTTATGAATTGATTAAAGAATTGTTTTTGTTATATGCCATTGAGTCCTCTGCAACTAACTTATAGCAACCCTATGTATAATAGCTCTGAACCACAGCTACCTACCCGCCTTATCCCAGTTACTGTGTCAGTCTATCTCATCTGAGGTTTTTCTCTCTTATGCTGACCCTCCACTCTTCCAAGCATTATGTCCTTCTCCAGGGATTGGTCTCTCCTGGCCACATAACTAAAATATGTGAGATGGAACTTCAAAATTCTTGCCTCCAAGGAGCAGCCTGGTTTTACCTCTCCAGGATAAGCATGTTTGTTCTCTTAGCAGTCTGTGGTATGTTCAAGACTCTTCTCCAGCACTACAACTCAAAGGCATCCATTCTTCATTCATCCTTAGTCATTATACAGCTCTGATGCATAGCAAGTAATTGCGCAGACCATGGTTTAAATCAGGCATATCTTAGTTCCAGACTGACATTGTTGCTCTTCAGTACTTTTTGAGAGGTCCCTCACAGCAGCCTTCTCCAGAGCAATTTGTCTTTTAATTTCTTGACTGCTTGTGCCAAAGATTATGATTGTGGAGCTAAACCAACTGAAATTATTAACAACCTCAATTTCTTATCCATCTATCATGGTGCTGCCACTTGGCCCAGTGGTGAGAATCTTTGTCATCTTGATGTTGATCTTCACTTCTTACTGAAGACTGCAGTACTTGACCTTCTGCAGCGAATGCTCAAGTCCTCTTTAGTTTCTGTGAGCAAGGTGTGTCATCTGCATCACACAGGTTGTTGATGAGTCTTCCTCCAATCCTGATGTCACCTCCCTCCTCAAGTCCAGCCTCTCAAAAGATCTGTTCCGCATATAGATTGAAAAGATCTGGAAATAGGATGCATCCCTGACTGGTGCACTCCTTTCCTGATTTTGAAACATGCAGCCTTTCCTTGCTCTATTCTGAGGACTGCTTCCAGGTCCACGTAAATGTTTTGCATGAGCAAAATCAAGTGTTCGGGATCCCCATTCTTCTCAAAGTTAGCCACAATTTGTTGTGATCCACACAGTCAAATACCTTTGCTTAGTCAATGGAACACTGATAGGCATTCCTTTGGTACTCTTTAATTTCAGCAGAAACCCATCTGACATTGTCAGTAATATCTTTAGTACCACAGCCTCTTCTAAACCTGGCCTATATTTCTGGTAGTTCTCTGTCGATGTACTATTCCATTCATTTTTTGGATAATCTTCAGCAGGATTTTGCTTGCATGTAAGATCAGTATATTGCTTGGTAATTTTCACACTCTCTTGGGACACCTTTTATTGGTATGGGAACAAATATGGATTTCTTCCAGTCAATTGGCCAAGTAATTGTCCTCCAGATTTCTCAGTGAGCATATCTAGGGCAGCATCAGTATTTTGAAATATGTCAGTTGGTATTCTGTCAATTCCTGGGGTCTTGTTTTTTTTTTGTTTTTTTGGGTTTTTTTTGGCAATTCCTTCAGAGCAGCTTGAACTTCTTCTTTCATCACACAGGCTCTTGATGGCATGTTGTTTCTTTAAATTCTTCCATGTCTGCCAATTCTTTTTGGTACTCTGTACTCTGTATACACCTTTCCTCTTCTTTTAATGTTCAATATTCTGCCCATGGCATCACTAAATATTGCAACTTCAGGATGGAATTTGTTCTTCAGTTCTTTCAGCTTTATATATGCCAAGCAGCCTGGCCCTTTTGGTTTAGTGACTCCAGCTCTTTGCACATTTCCTTATAGTATTTTTCTTTGTCTTCTTCAGCTGCCCTTTGAAGTCTTCTGTTTAGCTCCTTAACTTCCTAATTCCTTCCATTTGCTTTCACTTCTCAGCACTCCAGTGCTATATTCAGGGCCTCTACTGACATCCATCTCAGTCTTTTCATCCACCTCTGTCCTTGCTTTCTTCTTGAATGTTATTCTTGATAGCCTCCCAAAGCTCAGGTTTTCATTCACTAGTGCTCAAGCCCTCAAACCTGTTCCTGAGGTGACTTTTAAATTCAGGTTGGATAGACTCAAGGTCAAATTTACTTTGGTTCTTGTGTATTAAATTTCATTTCTTTTACATACTATAGAATTATAGTCTTTTCAAGTGGGCTTAGAATAAATATAATTTATTATGTTTTTTAGTTAAAGAAAGTTAATTTTATGTTAAATAAGATTTCCATTCTTTTGTAACAGTAAACTGACAGTCTCTTCTCTGATGCTTTCTAATAAATCTGAATTTACATGAAAATCAGATTTCAGAATAAGTTCTAACCTTAACAGCTAATTTCATTAGAAGCTTTTTATTTTTTTTAGAATGGAGAAGATTTTCATTTTCAGTAATAAAATTAACATTGTATTTCTTACAAGGTATTTTTATATAAATTATAAAGT